AGTGATTCAAGTTATTGACACATTTACACTTTAAAGCAGGGGATAACGGACATTGCATTGGAACATCCTATATCCTGTTTAGTGGTTCTAATCAGCTGCAGACAGAGATCTATGAAGTATCTGTTTGACTGATTTTGAATTCTGGAAAGAGACACTTCCTACAGAGCTTTTCATTGCCTTTGTTTAAACAAATAAAATATTTAAGTTAATTTGTTACACATCAACACACACGTATATCCCATGCTATCGGGTGTTCAAATGAAAAAGTCTGTTCTGAATAATTTATTTCTGAATCATCAGCTAGCTATCTCAAACAAATCCAAGAAAAGACCTTCAAAATTTCATCAAATATATCATCCACATTTTTACTTTCGAAAAAAAAAAAAGTCCTAGCTGTTAAATTACAGACTGGCACGAATACATGTATTTTCTTGATCACAATAATAAAAGTATTACAGACTCCAAATTTACTCAAGACATGAACATAACAATGAGCAATTAAGAATAAACCCCACAGAGAGATCAATGAAAAAATTATAATGCTATTGTGACCCTAACCCAAAGATTCAGTGAAGCAATATTTAAAAATATATACAAATTTAACTCAAATGTTACCAGCTGATGAGAAACCTAATTAAGCAATATGTGGTTACTTATTCAATACGAGCTAGATTCCAATATAATTCTAAGGCTGTCAAATGATTAAAAAATATAATTGCAATTAATCACAAGATTAAAAATAGCAGAATTGTGATTAATCGTGACTAACAGCACTGTTAATAATAGCATACCAATTTAAATTTATTATAAATATTTTTGATGTTTTGCTACATTTTCAAATATATTGATTTCAATTACAACACAGAATGCAAAGTTCTAGGGCATGTAGGAATGTTTCTAGGGCATGTAGGAATGTTGCTAGGGCATGTAGGAATGTTATCAGGAGGGCCAAATCGCACCTGGAGCTGCAGCTAGCCAGAGATGTCAAGAGTAACAAGAAGGGTTTCTTCAGGTATGTTGGCAACAAGAAGAAAGCCAAGGAATGTGTGGGCCCCTTACTGAATGAGGGAGGCAAACTAGTGACAGAGGATGTGGAAAAAGCTAATGTACTCAATGCTTTTTTTGCCTCTGTTTTCACTAACAAGGTCAGCTCCCAGACTGCTACGCTGGGCATCACAAAATGGGGAAGAGATGGCCAGCCCTCTGTGGAGATAGAGGTGGTTAGGGACTTTTTAGAAAAGCTGGACGTGCACAAGTCCATGGGGCCGGACGAGTTGCATCCGAGAGTGCTGAAGGAACTGGCGGCTGTGATTGCAGAGCCATTGGCCATTATCTTTGAAAACTCGTGGCGAACCGGGGAAGTCCCGGATGACTGGAAAAAGGCTAATGTAGTGCCAATCTTTAAAAAAGGGAAGAAGGAGGATCCTGGGAACTACAGGCCAGTCAGCCTCACTTCAGTCCCTGGAAAAATCATGGAGCAGGTCCTCAAAGAATCAATCCTGAAGCACTTGCATGAGAGGAAAGTGATCAGGAACAGCCAGCATGGATTCACCAAGGGAAGGTCATGCCTGACTAATCTAATCGCCTTCTATGATGAGATTACTGGTTCTGTGGATGAAGGGAAAGCAGTGGATGTATTGTTTCTTGACTTTAGCAAAGCTTTTGACACGGTCTCCCACAGTATTCTTGTCAGCAAGTTAAGGAAGTATGGGCTGGATGAATGCACTACAAGGTGGGTAGAAAGCTGGCTAGATTGTCGGGCTCAACGGGTAGTGATCAATGGCTCCATGTCTAGTTGGCAGCCGGTATCAAGTGGAGTGCCCCAAGGGTCGGTCCTGGGGCCGGTTTTGTTCAATATCTTCATAAATGATCTGGAGGATGGTGTGGATTGCACTCTCAGCAAATTTGCGGATGATACTAAACTGGGAGGAGTGGTAGATACACTGGAGGGGAGGGATAGGATACAGAAGGACCTAGACAAATTGGAGGATTGGGCCAAAAGAAATCTGATGAGGTTCAATAAGGATAAGTGCAGGGTCCTGCACTTAGGACGGAAGAACCCAATGCACAGCTACAGACTAGGGACCGAATGGCTAGGCAGCAGTTCTGCGGAAAAGGACCTAGGGGTGACAGTGGACGAGAAGCTGGATATGAGTCAGCAGTGTGCCCTTGTTGCCAAGAAGGCCAATGGCATTTTGGGATGTATAAGTAGGGGCATAGCGAGCAGATCGAGGGACGTGATCGTTCCCCTCTATTCGACATTGGTGAGGCCTCATCTGGAGTACTGTGTCCAGTTTTGGGCCCCACACTTCAAGAAGGATGTGGAGAAATTGGAGAGAGTCCAGTGAAGGGCAACAAAAATGATTAGGGGTCTGGAACATATGAGTTATGAGGAGAGGCTGAGGGAGCTGGGATTGTTTAGCCTGCAGAAGAGAAGAATGAGGGGGGATTTGATAGCTGTTTTCAACTACCTGAAAGGGGGTTCCAAAGAGGATGGCTCTAGACTGTTCTCAATGGTATCAGATGACAGAACGAGGAGTAATGGTCTCAAGTTACAGTGGGGGAGGTTTAGATTGGATATTAGGAAAAACTTTTTCACTATGAGGGTGGTGAAACACTGGAATGCGTTACCTAGGGAGGTGGTAGAATCTCCTTCCTTAGAGGTTTTTAAGGTCAGGCTTGACAAAGCCCTGGCTGGGATGATTTAACTGGGAATTGGTCCTGCTTTGAGCAGGGGGTTGGACTAGATGACCTTCTGGGGTCCCTTCCAACCCTTATATTCTATGATTCTATGATTCTATGAGTTCACTTTATATTATGTGTACTGTAAAAAAGAAAAAAGAAATAGTATTTTTCAGTTCACCTCTTACAAGTACTGTAGTACAATCTCTATCGTGAAAGTGCAACTTACAAATGTAGAATTATTATTATTTTAAATAACTGAATTCAAAAACAAAACAATGTAAAACTTTAGAGCAAGTCGAAGCATGAAGGGGCATATGAATGTTTAGCATATCTGGCAACACTTGCAACACTAGCTACAACAGTGCCATGCAACCGTTTGTTCTCACTTTCAGGTGGCATTATCTCCCGTAAATGTAAACAAAATTGTTTGTCTTGGCGATTAGCTGAACAAGAAGAAGGACTAAGTGGATTTACATGAGCTGAATAGAAAAATACTATTTCTTTTGTTTATCTTTTTTACAGTGAAAGTATTTGTAATAAAAATTAATAATTTAAAGTGAGCACTGTACACTTCGTATTCTGTGCTGTAATTGAAATCGATGTATTCAGATTGAATAGTCCCTTAACTCACTGAGTAGATCAGATTTTGTCCTTAATAAAGTAAATGAGAACTTGTTGGATATAATTTAGAAAAAATGCTAGTTTAGAAATATATATCCACAATCCTCTGTCTTAAGCATATTTGAAATATGAAACGGACTTGCTAAGATAATTCAAGTGAGTCATGAAATATTGTTTATAGAAATGGAATCTTTTTGCTGTGATTTTTTTTAAATAGAAATCGGATTTCTCAGAAATGCCTGTTACGTTTTCCCCTCTTGCATCATGTTTCCTTTGCCTGCCTCCCTCTCAAGAATGACAGACTATAAAAGTATTTGTAAATTAGTTTGTTATTGAAGGAATCCAGTGAGGGTAAAAAATAATTCCAGCAAGGACTAATAACTATATTTATAGTTTTATATATATAGGGCCACTCTTTTTAATGGTCAGGGTTTTTTCATTTGCTATTAATGGGATGCACTCATTTCTAACCTTAAGACCTGGGGAAAAAATGATAAGATTGGGTAGAAAATTTTAAATTACATATTATATATTACATATTATAGCGATGGTTCACTTTAGAAATGCATAGCTAGAGAACGTCCACTGTGTTGAAAATGCACAAGAAATCTGGACAAAAGATGAGAATCGAACAAACAGGGTGTTTCACATAAAATACCATTAATTAAGCAAAGTGAATGCTGCTTCAGAAGGATTCTCATGCTCTCTGTTTTGCATACCTTCCAGTCACATTCTGATCTCACTTAGAACTAAGTCAGTAAGGGCAGATGTAATGGGGTAGAACTTGACCTTGTATGCTTAGCATATGCTTGGTTTTGCTTTAAAGCGATATTTGGATTTTTTTTTTCTAATTTTGTACTAAACTGAGAGTGAATTATACTAACATGCTGTTAAAATAAAAGATTCCAAGGTTTGCAAAAACATTGCAAAGGAAGAGATACCAAATCGAAAACCATTTCCTATCTAAAGAGAATAAAAATTCATAATGGAAAAACAGGTTATTTGGTTATCTAGATAACTGAATTATAAATGTTTAAAAAAGAGCTGCAGACTTAAAAATTGAGAATCCAAGCTCAGGTTTCCTGCAGTTGGGTGGAAGAATTAATCTCTTTCAAACAGATTGTGACTACACAGAGTAGCAGTCACAATGAGAAAACTGCAAAAAGAACTTTATGACTGGTCTTTATTTTATGAAAACTAACTTTCATGAGTCTAATCCTAAATTAAAAGCATCTGCAGATTTCCCCATAGTAAATATTGCTCATAGCAAACCTGGTGCCTTGTAGTTATATCCAATACTAGCATTTGTTTGGAGATAACAACAACATGCTATAATTTTAGCATGTAATGTGTATGGCAACAGAGAAAACTTTCAAAATAATTCTAGCATAAAAACCGGAAGGCTGAATGAGTGAGTGTTTGCCTTCTATACCTCAGGAGGCCCTGAACTGAAGTTAAAAAGGCTGAGAATTGAATTTGAGAGCTCAATTTTAGACTATGTGCGGAAAGCAGATTACACCAAAGAAGGTGAGCACAGGTGCAAGCACAGTGAGAAGCTGGGAGGTAAGAAGGGGAATATAACAAGTATCATGACTGGGTTTGGATGCATTCCATTAATCAATAGGTAAAATGTCTGTGTATGAGTATCCCAAGATCAGATCTTTTAAGTTTTACAAAATGAAGAGGGAGCTCACCTGCCCATCTTTCCCCAGTTCCATTTCAACGATTGCAACCGGGGTGTTTATTTGGTCGATGTGTCTTGACTGCGATTTCAAATCCACTCTCCAGTTCACGTTTTTCAAGGTGTTGTCCCACCGACTTTGATTTATCAGACTCTCTCGAATTTTTGTTCTGTGGTTTTTCCAAAATTCTGCAATGACTGCAGCCTGATCTGCTGTGATACCTCCCTGCTTTTTGGTTTGGGCAGTAAGAAAGGCCTCCAGCTGGTTCAAATCCATGTCTGCTGAAGCTACAGACTGGGGAGAAAAAAAGAAAGAAAAGCCTGCTTGAATGTATTTTTTGACAATCTAAACAATCTACAAAAAGAGCGCAGCCATACATTTTCAAAGTTTTATAAAAGTCAGTTTGTAGAAGAATATGGTGGGCAAATCTAGGAACCCTGCAAAATCCGTTCAATTGACTGTTGTGTGCAACTTTCTCCCTACACTGGAAGGGCTTAGTCCCATAGGGAACCGTGGTGAAGGATTAGGTAGCACATACAGCAACAGTGTGTTCATGGAGGAGAGTTAGGAATAGTGGACGGAGGTTTTCTGTTAAACAGAAGGATGGAGGAACGTGCAGCGTTTCCCCCAATCAAGACTGAGACAGATGGAGAGACACCCTGATTCACTAGGGTGCTCACATTACTGCCACTGTGCTCTCAAAGCAGCTCCATCTCCACATCATAAGACAAGAGACCAAGACTAGTAAATATTGCAATGGTGGGTCTCCTTGTGGAGGTAGGTTTGCCATCCTTTTGGAACCTGCATTTTCACTGTAAATAAGGCAAGTCTTGAAAGTACACAGTAAAAAAACAAGGCAAGCTATTCCATGTGTTCTTTATGTCCCCAAAATACTTCTACCTTCATTCCACGTACTATTTAAAAGTATCCTCATGGTAACAATTACACACCTATGAACTAATTTTTAAACTTAACTAAGTATTATTCTGAAGTTCCAGTGGATTCTGTTTCATATACTGTGTCTGTGTGCTGCAAGGAAGCTCCACTTGGTTATTTAGTCCTCCTCTCTACACTGTGACAGAAATGACTATTCAAAAACCATCTCTGACAGATGTCAAGTCTGACTTTATCTCCAATGATGACCATTCTAGAGCCTCAATTTTTCATTCCCTAACTGTTCTGACTGCGGAGCATGGATTAGTGTTCACATCTCACTCCGCATCAGTACCCAGCCCAGGCCGGGGAAGCTAATGATCCAACCATCAGACCAAATTTGGTGATGAATCCTGGTCATCTGCTACATGAGGCACGTTGCGCATACGCTAAGAAGAAGACTGTTCAGACTGCCATAGCGTTTTCCCCTAATATTTAACCTAAATTTTCTTTTCTGCAACTTCAAACAGTTACCTTTCATCTTGCCTTCAGTGACAAATGCATATAACTGATCCCGGTCTTCAAATACCATAGAATCAATTACAGAATCATAGGACTGGAAGGTACCTCCAGAGGTCATCTAGTCCAATCCCCTACACTCATGTCAGGACTAAGTATTATCTTTATGGAGATAAAGGAGAGAGTGAGATGAGACTAAAAACCACTATCCTCAGTTTTTAACCTCTATTGACAAGTCTAATTTCCATGCAGTTTTATTCTTGTTGCTTTCTTCATATTCTAGAGACACAATCCTGGAAGGTGCTAAACACTGTTGAGGTCTCTCAGCACCTTCCAGGATGAGACCTAATTTGTCTGTTCCTTTTAAAAAATGCACTGCCCAAAACTGAACCAGTGTGCTTACTGGGGCCTAAACAATGCTGAGAAGAAAGGAATAACTATCTTGTTTCCAAATTCTAATCCAGCTCAGATATGGATACCTTGTGTGGTTTTGGACAAGTCACAAACTATGTATCTCAGCTTCTCCATCTGTAAAGTGAGGATAATAATTATGTTCTCTGGAGAGGTACAGCAAACTAGTTAATATTTTGTAAAGCCCTTTGAATAACTATTAATTTCCCCTTCCTCCCACCCGCTTTTCATCCTTAATAGTCTGGGATCAGAGGAGGGTAGGTTCTGCCAGATGCTGGAACTGGACGACAGAGGATGGATACTCGGTAATATCCCTAGTCTGTTCATTTCCTCCGATGCACCTGGCATTAGCCACTGTCGGAAGACAGGATACTGGGTTAAATGGACCACTGGTCTGACCCAGTATGGCCATTCTTATGTTCTTATGCTGCTCAGGCAGGGTTCATTACTTTCTTACAGATTGGCTGGGTGTAATAGTAGATGACAGTCAATCTAGAATAATTTTAAATTAGACTGGCTGGCAAAAGAAATGAAAGGTTTATGTATACCCCAATACAAGAAAGGACACACACGTTATAAAAGGTTCTGGATAATGGTTGTCTGCTACCCACAACACATACAGCCAATAGCAATACTTACATCTAAGTATATACACCACATACTCCATTGCCTGTGTATTTTTCAGGAAAAAAACCCAGTTGTATCCATAATGGCATTCTGTTTTGCCTGCTAGAATAGAAAGCATTTTTCTGAAGCTTTCACAATTTTTTTTAAAGAAGGCAGCTATACCACAGAATTCTCAAACTGGCCTACCCCTTGTGTGATTCAAAGCAATGGCAATCTACATTAGACAGGACTGCTCTGCTGTGTTATGACTCCAGCTTAATTATAAGCCTTAGTCAGACGCTTCTAAATGAAAAAAAGAAAACAAAACCACCCTTCAATATGTCTAGTACACATCTCTAATACTTATTTCTCTATTGCGCAAGATTTTGTTTGCTTTTATGGCAGAGATATTTATCTCAATTAACTCTAATGGTCCTGTAAGTAGAAAAAAGAGCACCAGCCTTCATTTGCCAAAACAAAAATTGGTTTCAGATGTCTTTTTTTTTCCATGCAGAAGACTGTCAGTTAACAGGAGTGTGAAATATTTTCTGTCATTTTATCAATACGAAAAATATTCTGTCTGTGCAAATGTGTGTGTTACCAGTTATCTGACATTTGTGTAATTTTCAAGGTTTTTGAAAAATTTAAAAATTGAAGAAAAAAACTCCATCATGCCGAACCATGCTGACACCCTCACATCGGTCGTCAGCAGGGCTGGGACCCTTGAACCCACAGCACACTCTACTACCACTTGAGCTAACAGAGCAAACTAGTAGCAATAGAAAGCTGGTATCTGCGGTGCATACCTGCCACTAGAGGAGAATGGAGAGAGACATTTTGCCAGTTTCACAGCTATTTTCTAGACACCAAAAGAATGCCGATGGCTCAGCAATAATGGGTTCAATTCCGGGTTCTGTAGGGGAGCGTGGTTTAGTGGTTAGACCTTTCAGCGCCATTCCCCCCACATGCACCCCAGCCTCTTAGTCCCCTTTTGCCATATCCCCTCCTACCCTCCTCCCATCCAAGCTCCTGCCCCCCCACCCCTGCACAGGGCAACTCTCCCTGACCTCTGTACTTCACCTTGCTGCATTCCAGGCGGAGGACCACTAAGAGCACAGAAGGGACTCTCAGTTACTGTGTCTGGTGCCACAGCAGCTCATGGCAGTCAGGAAGCACAACTGCAGGGAAAGTCCTGCTCAGCTCCTGCTGCCCTGGGATGGAGCATGTTCAGCATAGGTAGCGGGTATAAAAGGACTGGGAAGGCTAAGCCTCCCCTGGCGCAGCCACTGCTGACCCGCTGCCGGACACCTGGACCATGGCAGCCCCACCTGTGCTCCGCCTCTTCCCCTCCCTGCTCCGCCCCTTTCCCCAAGACCCTCCACCGCCACCTGGTAAGTCCCTCCTCTCCTCCACTCCACCCCCCTCACCAGATGTCCCCACCGCTTGCCATGTTCCTCCTCTCCTCCACCCCCAAGAAGCCTCCCCACCCGCCATGTCCCTGAGATCAGTGGGGGCCTCGCAGGGGAAGGGGTGGAGAAGAGGAGGGATGCGAAGAGCGGTGGCGGGGGGGCCAAGTGTGGAGGGGGCCTGGGGCAGAGCGGGGCTAGAATGTGGGCAGGGCTGTGGGCAGAAGAGGCGGGACCACAGGAGGAGGAGGCAGGACAGGGTGCTAGCCTCCCCCCAGGGGAAGCTTCATCTGCCATCCATGATATTCAGCTTATCTGTGGAGATGGTACTTGTGCAATCTGATTGACACACATATGCTGTGAGCGGAATCTAGCATGGGAGCTGTGTGGAGAACATGAAATGCAATTACCCGAGAACTCCAATATTTCAAAAGTTGGTTTTGTTCCAGTTTGGAATACAAACCAAACCAGCTCTATTTAACATGCTCAGTGCAGATGAATGCAAACTCTTCAGAGAATTTAGCCACTAAATTAACAAAACTATTGAGCAGGTACAAACAGATTTTTCAAAGGTTTATATTTTGACCAAATTTGGTCAGATTTTCATGCAGATAGCAAGAAACATATCACTGACACCAGGGAGACTCCACTGTCTAATTCTGAGTTCCTGCTCCAAGGCACGGAGGGGCTAGACCTTCTCAACAAAACAACTGTAGAAAAAAAAAGTTTTTAACCCTGATAAAACATTTCCTCCAACCTGGTTCTCTGAAATGGCCCAACTGCTTTAGATTAAACTTCTCCCCTACCACCATGTCCCTTCCCCCATCAAAAAGAGAAAAGAAAAGAAAAAAGCCTAAGGCAGATACCTGGCACTGGAATTTTCAACCCAAATGGTTTACATTTGGCAAAGTTGTAAATAATTGAAAACAAAAGGTCTGATAAAACAGCAGACAACCTTATCTGTAGGCAGCACTTCTTGCACTATGATTTATGGACTCTTTATGATTTGTTAGCGATCGATTCTAAGTCAAATTAGAACAGTGCCACAGGACTGAAAGTTGGCATCCAAGACTGAGATGCTAATAAAAAATAAGTAGAGTTCAGTTTTGGTGCCCATTCCTCAAAGGAAGGGACTTTGCAGTGAAACTAACCACTTTGTCAAGTTACGCTTTGCCACAAATCAAGGGGCACAGCAAAGAGCTCCTAAAAAGAGCAAGTTGAAACTTGCTAAACTGGTCCATTTCACTGCAAAGTTCCTTACTAAGCTCAAGATGCAGTATAACTGGGACTTCGCTAAAGTGGGTCCATTAGAGAGGAAAACTTATTGCTACTTTTACAATTTTAAAACACAAGGACAATGGGAAATAAATATTACAACTTACAGAGCACAGCTAATTTGTTCACATTGCACATATGGTCTGTATTTTGACTGCTCGTTATGTTTCAATGTAAATTATATTTATAACCCCATGTTTTCAT